GCTGGAAGCTGCTAATGCTCATCAGTAAATCAGTGGAAAATGAATAGAAATTACGATTCTGTCTGAGCTATGCGTTTTAAAATGAGCATGCACTAGTGTAAATGTAGCTAACAGATGTGTAAACTGAAGACTATTTGAGCTTTATTAAAACTATTTGCACTGATTTTTTGTTAGTTACATTTTGTTCCTTTGTGCAGTGGCTCAGGAGATGAGTCTTTGAGTTTGTATAAACATCAACAAGCTGAAAAATAAAACCAAAGTTTTTTTTTTTAGATAATGTAATCTTGTTCAAATAGATTTCATAAAATTGGTATCGAAAAAAGTATCGTTCAGGAACCGGTATCGAAGTCAAGAAAAAGTCAAAAAAATGTTAACGATACCCAGCCCTAATCTGTACTACATAGATGTTTCCTGTCAGCTCGATTTTTGAGTGGATTTTGCTGTTCCGATGAGCATGAACGGTATACGAGTGGAGCACTCACATGGACCGTGAGCGACTGAGTGGAGCACACACACACATAGAGCGGGATAATACGCAGAGCGTCACACCACATGAAAGTGAACCCTGAGCGGTGAACTAATTTTCGGCAGCCGAAATTTCAGTGCATCTCTAATTATTAGCGACATCAGAAATGGATATTATACAATAGCTGCTTTTTTTTTTTTTACATTTTAGCAATTTAAAAATATTTAAAAAATATTTTTTACACGGCACCCCTACTGGGAAACACTGGTCTAGAGCACTATTTAATTTCTATTAAAAATCTATTCAAAGTTTTGACTATACAAATAATGCACAGCTTATTTATAGCATTTATAATCTTTCTATTTTGTTTCTTGTTCTGTCCTATCTAAAAATAAAATGTGACTTTTACAGGGATGTGTGTAATTTTCCCCCCTCTCAACTACATGATTTTGTCCAGGCATGACTGACAACTTTTTTTCAATTTTGTATAAATACATTAAAAAAATCTCACACACACACACACAGGTTTGTTTTTGTGAATTGTGGGGACATTCCATAGGTGTAATGGTTTTTATACTGTACAAACCATATTTTCTATTGCCCTACACCAACCCTACACTTAAACCTACCCCTTACAGGAAACTTTCTGCATTTTTAGATTTTCAAAAAAACTCATTCTGAATGACTTATAAGCCTTTTGAAATATGGGGACACTCAAAATGTCCTCATAAATCACCTTCTCGTTGTAATACCTATGTCATACCCTAGTGCTGGGCGGTATGACCAAAAATTTATATCACAGTATTTTTCAAAATTATACCGGTTTCATGGTACATGACGGTATTTTTTTTTCATGCATGCCCGGGTGTTAACCATATTTTGTACTGATTGAGAGAGGAAATACTACAGTATATTGACTTAGAATGCCCTATTTTACGGTCATGATGAGTGAATATTGTCAAAAAATACCACACTAAATAGTGACTAAACACGACCCCTTTTAATACATGTTAACCAGGAGTCACTCTCATTTATAATCGCGGCATCGTCTGATAAAATCAACATGCATCTACACTAAAGAGCGGCTATGCGGTAGTTTTGGCTATATTACTTTTTTTGTC